GTTGTGAAGAGTTTGACAGTTTAAGTGAGAATCGGCTCATCAGTTTTGATCAACAAGCCATATGCAATTAGTTGTTGTGCAAACTGCAGACAATTGTACTTACTGTTTGCACACATGTGCCAAAGCATTTGCAATTTGATCAAATCAATAAGAAAATCCAATCTGATGTGAACAAGAAGCTAATTGTTCAGAGATCTGAACTTACTGTTTCGGGAAAAAAAAGTTTAATTCGAGAATTGAGCCAAAGCAATTGAGAAAAACTGTAATTATATATATATATGGAAAAATAACGTAAATTATTAATGTATACTAATTATTATATATATATACTAGACAGACAGACAGACAGACAGACAGAAAGATAGATAGATAGATAGATAGATAGATAGATAGATAGATAGATAGATAGCAGGATTTATAATATATATAAGATATTGTATATATTTATTTAAATACCGAAAACAAGGGTTATAAATCAACACGTACACGTGCAGCCTAGCCTTACCCTCCATGTAAACTTTGACCCTCTAAACTTCGTCTGTTGTCGGAATCTACCATTTCACCCAGAACTACTAACATTTTGCCCAAACGTGTCAATTAAAAAAAAATGTATAGGGTGAAAAGAGACAATGTGGGTACAGGTGTTTTAAGAATAGGACTTTATCACGCCTGCGGCAATACAAAGTTCACAGCTGCTGCTGGGCTGAGATGTGATCGGTGACATAATGGACTAGTCGCGTGTTTTAAGGCGCGCTCACTAAAGTCTGAGCGCGTGCTTGGATCTGCTAGAGTCAAACAAACGCTCTCTCGTCTCTATAACGGAGAAGAGATCGGATCATACTGCAGATCGGACATAATGGCTACAATGCTGAGCAAAGAATTGCCGGATATCGAGGTAAAGCGACACGCATAGTGTATCTGAGCTTTGTATATTTCGTTCGGGAAGACGTTTTTACACACTCATCTGTTGCTAGACTATTTTTAGGCACGTGTCCATGTTTTAGTCAGGTAAGGTGATTTGTGTGGGAGACTGCGAGACACAACTTTGAAAGTTGCACTGTTGTGCATAATACAGACACATTGAAAGAAGAAAAATAATAAATAAAAATACTGCTTGGTTTTAAAGCTAAAATATGCACTTTTAATATTATAGCCTACTTGTTCAGAATGGTTCATTTCAATCTAAATCTAGAGGCACAGCATTATGATATTTATGAGGATGATATTATTATAAATTATGATTTTTAAAATTTTGCACTAAAAGTTTGTCCATTTACAGTTCCATTACATAGTTACTTTGTAAAAGCTAGGATTTTCTTCTCCAGTCTTCAATGTTTAAACGTGAAGGACAGGCAAAATCCCTCTGAATGTTTTAAAAGGTGGAGATGAATAAAAGGTAAACATTTTTTTATTTTTTTAATTGTTTTTATTATGCTTCCATTTACAACAAACAAACAAGGTACATAAACACATCACATAATCTAACAACACGTGAACAGCCTTAGGTTGAGCATAACCAGTGACAAACAAGATCACAATAAACCAATAATAAAGAAGAAAATAAAATAAAATAAATAAATAAATAGAACAAATAAAACAAACCAAAAGGGGCAATAAAAGGTAAAATTAATGGTTTTTATTTATTTATTTTTTTTAACATGGCCTTGTGTGCTGCTAGGAAGAGATTTCAGGACCTTGGACAGGGACTCGTTCAGTGGTTGAGCTCTCTGTAGCCTTTCAACACTGATGAAGCCATACTTAGTAGCTTAATGAAAATGTACAGGTCCAATTTAAGGATAATTTCCTTCAGACAAACAAGTGTACAGTCACATATGTTACACTTCTGATGTACAATGCACCTTGGAAACAACAGGCCCGTTAATTTGTGAGCAGTGCATGCATGATGGCCTTCATTGTTTAGTCCCCCCCACCCCACCCCCAAAGTGCAGCAATACACTTTGGAGACAACAGGCCCTTTAATTTGTGAGAAGTGCATGCATGATGGCACCCCCAAGGTACAGGCATTGACAAATCAGGTAGCTTTTAATTTCATCCTTTTTAGATTTCAAAGCAGTAAACATGACTGGTAAATCATGTTTTGTTTCTATCAAGTGCACTTAAGCAAGTAGGTTGCTAATTTAGTGGTTAAATTGGTCTAGTAAAACAGGCATTAAATGTTTTTTTTAAGACTCCATGTTCCTTAATTAAAATCAATCAGCTAATCAAAACATAAGAAGGCATAATTAAATGTTTTAATTTTGTTCCTTTTGAAATGGTGCAGTGTTTAAATTCAGGCCCGTTCTCAACTTCAGTGTCTCTATATTTCCAGTATTAGTTCCTACTGTCCGTAGCATTTGCCTTGTTTGATCTAGCATTAGCACATCTGATTTACATGAAACTTATCTGTTAGCGGTGAGCCTAAGAGAAAACAGTCTTCTTTATGAGGTCTTGGTATGCACAGCACACACCGGATGACGTCTCTGCTCAGGTGAGATAAAGCTTTCTCTTTTAAGTTGAGCAGATATGGGCATTGACTTTCATAGAGAAAATAGAACTGTTACTGACGACTCTCATAAGCATTTCTATTCATGAGTGTTATGACTATGGCAACGTGACCTTGGCGTGCAGAGTGCACTTAAAACGTGCTCTAAATGACTCCTGTCTGCCACTGAAAATACCTCACTAAATGTCATAAAAATGGCTGTCCGTGGGGCAATTAAATTGGCCATTCATTTTGGCAGTGCTGTCAGACGTCTCATTTTAATATCCTGCTTTTTCGAGAGCGCTAAATATGTGCCTTTGTGTGTGCTCACGGATTCATTAAAAAATCATCCGGGATGGCCATCAGTGTTCGTTAAAAACCAGATTAATGGTGCCGTTTACACAAAGGGCTACGGCTTTTTATGGAAGGCCCCGAACCCCAACAATGACCACTTCCTGATAGCAAGTCAAGTACCGTGATAGACAATTGTCGACTTGAAAGACAAAATTGCAATATGAACGTTATGAAAGCCCCATTAGCGGACAGACATCCATATCATGGACGTCAAAGTCAGATGCTGTACCTGCTGGAGCTTTTATCCGCGCCATAAAAAAAGAAGAACTTTTCGAGTCCAGGAGGAAATTTGGGAGTTTTTCCAGTAATCCAGTAATGGTCCGCGATTACATTTGGTGCTTACCAAGGCATTGGCCTCATGATATATGCTACTGATGTAAGTACTTATATAAATGGTTACATAGTACACATGTAGTGTGATTGCTCAAGGTAGATACACCACTCTCTGTCAGTGAGCAAAAGTGTATTCTTGTGTAAAATGTATTAGTTAGGAAGGAGGAGCTTTTTTCTTTTTGAACAGCTGCATTTAGTGTGTATACTAAGGCTGATAAGTATACACATATCAAATACTTGAGTAAGATCCAGATCTGAAGATACCAGAATCTAGTAAAACAAAACAATTGTTCCTCATTTTATGATGTAAATTAAATAAGATATATTTTCAGATTAGAATGATCTCTAAAGGATCATGTGACACTGGAGTAATGACTGCTCAAAATTAATTTGCCATTAAAGCAATAAATTAGATTTTAAAATATATTAAAATGGAAAATTTGAAATGGAAAGTTTTCACAATGTTAATATTTTTTTTACTGTATTTTGGGTCAAATAAATAATGTCTTGGTGAGCATAAGAGAATTCTTTCAAAAACAAAAACATTCAATATTGTAAATATTCCAAACTTTTCACTAATATACATAGATATATAGATGTTCTATATTCAGATTTGATCTAGAAAGTGGAAATATCATAATATGAAATATATGAGTGTGTACCATGTACAGTTTCAAAGAATTATGTGAATACTGGTCTGAGGACTGTATATTTAAATGGCTTGATTATTATTGGCTTGATTATTATGATTATTCATTAAATTAACATTTACCATAAAATTAACAATTAAGATGAAATAATAATATCAAATATATATGAATGAATGAAATTAGTACTATAGATAGATAGATAGATAGATAGAAGCGGCACTGTATATATATACTTTTAAAAATTCCTGTTGTGTAACAAAATGTGTTTGAATGGACATTGATGAGCCAGCAACCCTTCAGCTTGGGTTATCATACTGTCATCCACTCAACCAGTTCATGACCCTAAGTCAATGATTATCCCAGGCACAAGTGAGGGGTATTAAGAAATCTGTTCACAAACACCCTGTTTAGACCCTTTGAACGGCATGACAGGCCTCTCTTCTGGAGCACAGGATTTTGAACTTGGTCCATTCTGTTACCCTTTCCTTAGTTTGAAATAATAAACATTAATACATACATTTTCATAGCCTGGTACTAGTTTTTGAGGAAGTGCTGAATGTAGTACAGAATACAGTGTTTAGTTGCTGAAAAGTCTGACCAACTAGGACTTAGCCAGTGCTTTTTATACTTTCTTGCTGCTTACAATTGGATCGAGTGATTTAAGACCTTAAAGGGACAATTTGCCCAAAAATGTACTCACCCTAATGTTGTTCCAAACCCGTAATGTCTTTCTTTTTAATTTGTTTAATGTTTGTGGAACATTAAATAAGATATTTTGAGAAATGTTTTGTTATTGTTTTGCCCATACAATAGTCAATTGGGGTCTAGTGTTGTCTTGGACCCCACTGACTTTCATTGTATGGACACAATCAAAATCTTCAGTATAGCTTTAATGAACCTTTTCAGTAGGGATGCACCGATATGAAAATTTTGGCCGATACCGATAACCGATAATCCTTTATTTTTGAAAGCCGATAACCGATATGTTGGCCGATTAATCTATATCCAAATTTTTATATACTTTTTGAGAGCCTGATTACAAAAAAGGTCTCATCATTAAAAACCACATCCCGAACACTTCAACATAAGCAGCCTAGTTTGAACGGTGTATGTTTTAAAAATAATTTTACTCTCCCATTACCAAATTTAGTCATAAAAAAGTCTTACAAATAAAATAATGCAGAATGTTTAATGCCTTTTTACATAAAATAATGTGAAGAATTTGTGAACATGGTTGGTCAAGAGCATAGTAGGCCTCTCACAGATGCCTAGCCAGTTATCGAATGTGCTTTTCAATGTGAATCAGCTCCATTTTACTCATTGAAACCTGAAGAGAAGCTTCAGGAGACCTTTAGCTGAGCAAGAGGATGTTGATGCCAAATGATCTGTATTGCTCTCTATAATTATGTTACAGGACTAAATGATATTCTGGGCTTGTGCTGAACATTGCTGGGCTGCTGGAGCGTTGTGGCTTTATTTCAACTATGGAGGATCAATTTCTGTATTGATTTGAGGCAAAAAGACTAGGCAAGGATCTCTGTAGATTGTGTTTAACTATTCCGCCTTAGGGAGGGAGGGGGCTTTGTTATGAAAGATTAAGTGTGCTTTGAAAAGGGGTCAAGTTGCCTACATTGAGATCATTGCATAAATGCTTTTAGTTATGAATTTGCCCTTTTTCTGCATCTGGATGATGTTTCATTACTATTAATTATAGCAGAGAACACACCTGAACTCATTTAGACAGAGACAAAATCTTGCTTTTAGTGTGGACTCTATGCTCGGGGTTGGTGCTGTCTTTTATAAATTACCCATTTAAAAGTTCACATTGAATCTCACATCGGGGTTCAAAATCTAATTTCAAACTTTACTTAAGCCTAAGGTTTTAGGACTTTGAAAAAAAGTAAAACAAACAGTTATTATTAAATAAATAAGAATTCTACTTGTGTCAATTACAGTGTTGGCCAAGTTACTCTGAAAATGTAATCAAATTACTGATTACTCCTTTTAAAAGTAATCACGTTACTGTTCTGATTACTTTATTTAAAAAGTAATTAGTAACTAGTTACATTACTAGTT